AGCCGATACCAGATATATTTTGAGTGGGACACAAAATGACAGCTGTCACCTTATGTCAAAATCACAATAGATAAATATTATAAACAATTGGTATGAAAAACAATGGCCGATACCAAAACATATTTTGAGTGGGACACGAAATGACAGCTGTCACCTTAAGTCAAAATCACAAAAGATAAATATTATAAACAATTAGTATGAAGAACAATAGCCGATGCCAAAATATATTTTGAGTGGGACACAAAATGACAGATGTCATCTTATATCAAAATTACAAAAGATAAATATTATAAACAATTGGTGTGAAAAACAATAGTCGATACCAAATATATATTTTGAGTGGGACACAAAATGACAGCTGTCACCTTATGTCAAACCCACAAAAGATAAATATTATAAACAATTGGTATGAAAAACAATAACTGATACCAAAATAGGGTAGACAGACATCCACACGTATTATATGTCAATCTTCTTGATAAGAATCCAGCTTTTCATAAGATACTGGATCTTCCATTAAGATTTAATAAAGACACTTGTTATGTCACATTAACAATTATTTATAGTGTTAATTATTATATAATTAATATATATACTTATTAAAATATCTAAACTAAAACTTATATAAATATTGACAAATAACAAATCGAATCAATAGAAAACAATATCAATATTTTTGTATTTTAAATGTTTGTATAATCCTTATACAGTGGAACCTCGCTTAACGAGCAAAATGAACTGTAAAAAAAATGACTTGAAGAGAAGTTCCAGATTGCGTACCTGCTACATCAATTTTAAAACTTGTGCACACTTGTGTATTTTTTGAATATGTTTCACTATACGAGTAAAAATCCGGAAATTTTGGAATATCTAATTTTTAAAAAAATATTTGCATTACAAAACATAATTATTAAGCTATTTAATATAAAATGTGGATTACTATTTAATGAAGTAATTTTCCCTAATGCACTTAAGAATCTATGAAAACAAGAAAAAAAATTATAATTAAAAAAAAAAAATGAACTTTTAAAAAAAGCAATTATATAATGAATATTCATTTGACACTATGCAAATCGTTGAATATTTTTCAATGATTTACTTCCATTTTATTATATGCAACCGTTTCTATCGACAAGTGTCAACTGTCTCCTGTCACGCTTGTCAGGTGATAATTTTGCAAGTAAACTTTCGATGAGAAAGAAAAAGAACTAATAAATAATGAATGAATATCGATTATCCCTTTTTTTGTAATAAATAAATCGTGCCGTAATCTTTCGAGTACTTTGCTGAACAAACTCACGTAGATGTTATCAGCACTAGACGGAAATCCAAATATTGTATACAAAGAAACAATATGTAACTATTACTTCACAATAATTAATGTCTAATCATTTATTTCTATTAGAAAATTCATAACAAAATTTAAAAGCAAAAAAAATGTATTTTTTCTACAAAAATCTTATGTTTTATGATTCAAAAAAAAATATAGGAATTAATATAATTTTAGTAATGTAATAATTATTATTAAATTTGATCGATTTATATTAACAAAAATTCAATAATAAATCTGTGACATTTATTTCTATTGGAAAATCAATATTAGATAATTAGATTTTATTTAGACTAAATGGTGAACCGTATAGTCAATTTCGGAGCAAAAAAAAATATATAAAAATATCGGTGGCAATCGCAAGCCCGTCTATTGAAATCCCGACGTTTGAAATCACGTCTGTATCGAAATCCCGACAACCATAATCCCGACTGTATCAAAATCCCGACTATATCGAAAATGTCTACAATAACATTTTTAAATTATTCCGGAGCATAGTGACTTTTAAATTGTTATTAATAATAAATAATAGCAATTAATAATTTAATTGTATTTGAGATTATTTCATAATGTTAAGGTTTATTATGAATAAATCAACAAAATCAAGTAAAACAAGCACAAGGTGACTACGCTCCGAAATAATTTTTTTTTTTTATTTATATACAATTTTTACAATATTTTTTATACATTGTTATTGTAAAAATTTTTGATATAGTCGGGATTTTGATACAGTCGGTATTTTGATATAGTCGGGATTTCGATTTCGGTTGTCGGGCTTGCGATATAGATCCTAAAAATATATGTCAATACTACTACTATGAACTATTATTTAAATTATGTTTTTTCTTTTAATTAAACTAAATTAATTCAACATTTACACAAATAAAGTTTTAGCAAATAAAGGTTATAAAAGATATAAAATATATAAAATATAAGTCATTTACTTTACTTAATAATGTGCGTCTTATAAGTTATAATTTATGACTCATAAGTCATAATATGAGTCATTCTTATAATAATTTAATTATTAATTAAATAAAATTCAGTACATTTCATCAAACAAAGATGTTATTTTGTTCATATCGCCAATAATTATTAAAAATGAATAGTTAAATATTTAACTTAATTAGATAACAACACTGAGTACATTTCTCAATTTTAAAGTAATTAACATTATGAGTGAATTGTTTAAAATAACCAATAAATAAATTTATAATTTAGTATTATTATTTATTAATTATCAAATTTTGTAACGATTTTGACTCTAATCTTTTTGCCCTAATTAGTATATTTAACTTTGTTAGATAACAACACTAAGTGCATATTCTTATGCTCTCAATTTATATAAAATTACGAGTGAATTGTTCATAATAATAAATAAATTAAATATTATTATTTATTAATTAACAAATTTTGTAACGATTTTGACCCTAATCTTTTTGCACTAATCAGTATATTTAACTTTGTTAGATAACAAATAAGTGCATATTCTTATACTATCGATTTATATAAAATTAGGAGTGAATTCTTCATAATAATAAATAATTTTAGTATTATTATTTATTAATTAACAAATTTTGTAACGATTTTGACCCAAATATTTTTGCCCTAATTAGTATATTTAACTTTGTTAGATAACAACTAAGTGCATTTCCTATACTATCGATTTATATAAAATTACGAGTGAATTGTTCATAATAATAAATAAATTTAGTATTATTATTTATTAATTATCAAATTTTGTATCGGCTTTGACCCAAATCTGTATGTACTAATTAGTGTTATTTATTAGTATTAAAATAGAATGTATGTAAAGTTTATAAATGATTGATTACTAAATGAATTTTGGTTTTAAAATGGTTAAATCGCAACGATTTTCGTTTTTGTTCATAATTTTACTTACTAATTTATGTAAATGGTTTCGAAGCGGTATTCACAGCACGTAACTACTACTATTTATGTACGTTATGTATTTAAGGAGCGACGTATAGCGACTAATTGTTGATAACGTCTAAAGCGCGTCTAATCCACTAATAACTCGTTGCAGTCGTGTGTTTTGCGGTTTTTATCAGCTCGGAAAGTAAGAATTTGGAATCGTGTTGAAATCGGACTCGACCTTTGCAGGTTTTTACTAGATCAACTCTACTCACCTTATTTCTGAGAGAAGCGGAGAATGTTTGTTTTTTTTTTCACGGACACGGATAGATGGACTACTAAATGCGGAATGGATGGATTGTAAGTATTGTACGTATATCATGATGGCCAATCAACAATTCCTCGATCGATCGTCAAGCAACAAATAAATATTAAAGTGCCAGATGTTCCGTTTGCTTCTGATTAATAATGGATGTACGGTTCAATTTCATATTGATATTTTATACAGTCATTAACTGCAACGAAGTAGAATACAATTTTACTTCAAAACAACAATTAGTCAAAGTCGTCGTTTGTTTATTTCAATTTGTTTGATTGATTGTAATATTCAGTGAACTTTGAAAGTTTTTATGTTCATATGTTTGTAAGAACTTGACAGTTTATGGAAAATCCGGATTTGAACTTAAACAAAAGTAACACAAAGTTTCTTTTCTTCAAATTCATATTGATTATAGTTCGAACAGTTTGATGTTTGAACAATTAAAATTCGAACAGAAATTTTAAGAAAATTTCGGATTTGAAACTCGAACAAAAGGTGAAACAATTATTTGCTGATTTTAATACAAAAATTATACTATGAACCGTTTGAAAGATGAATGGATACTTTCGAAGAAAATCTGAACAGTTTACAGTTTTATATAACTAATTGTATAGAATCCTAAATAATTTTTTTTTTACTTATTAACACCAATTAGATCATTTTTGGACAGTTTTCCGGACAACTTGAAACTTGAACAGAAATTATATGGAAATTCGGCTTTGAAACTTGGACAAAAGTAAACGAAATATTATTTTCTGGAAATTGATATTGAATAAAATTCGAACTGTATGATGTTTGTATAATTTAAAATTCGTCCAGAAAAGATTACTTTATACACACTTTTCTCTATTAAGAAAAATCAAGTGATATTAATATGAATTACCTGATTATGAAAAATAATTCTTCCTCTGGACAATAACATCACTCACTATGGTCAGTTGAAAATGTTTATAATTACTAAATTATGTGCTTTTAATCTAATGATTTTAATTTAACATCAACAAAATAAAACTAATTTAGAAAACTTGCAAAATACAATCGAAACAATTCTTTCATAAATTTACATAATATTTGTAGGGAACACAACTCAATTTGATAAAAAAATTGTTTTAATTATTCTCTTTTTTTAGTTAAAAATATTCACATAAATGTAATGGGTTGGCAAGAAAGTAATTTTGGTTTTCACAAATAGATAGATTATGTTAGTTTTGAAGGACTTCTGTCAATGTTCTGATCTTTTTTCTTTTATCATTAGAAAGATGTCACTTTTTGCTTCCTTTAGAAGCCAATTGCACATAATTTTGTTTGCAGCTGTTAGTTTAAACTCAATTTTAACAGGAGTGTAAATAAATTGCTTTTTTATTTCTGTAAAAGCGAGAAAGCTGAAATTTATGATGTTAATTGTTTAACACGAACATTCGTATTAGAATTGGTGTAAAATGGATCTACTGGAGTTTATGATGGCAAATCAAAGTCATAATTAAATCGAATCGTCATATAACTGTGCAAGAGATTGCAGAAAGGTTATTTAACCACAACAACAATTAGAAAAGTTTCACTTAACACAACAAATCAATATTTGCAACATTAATGCCAACTGTAATAAAATCGTCACTTTTTTAAACAAATTAACATTACTGGTATTGAAAAATGGATTGTCTACAAAAACAGTCTAATACAAGTGTGATAAACCAGCATAAGCTACATCAAAAAAGATCATTATATAAATTTGGTGGGATTACAAAGGTATTTTGAACCAAACGATCATTTCAGATGTTTAACAAGTAATGAAACTGGAGAAGCAATCAAAGAAAAATGCGCAGAATTGGCAAAACGTCTTTCATGACGATTTCAGGTCATCATTAAAATGACCTGAAATTGCACATGGTTCAGTTTTTAGCTGATAAGGAAAAGAAGTTCTATGAGCGCGGAATTATGAATGTGCCAGAAAGATGGCTAAAGGTCATCGAACAAAATGGAAAATATATACACTAAAAAGCCAATACAATTCCATATGACCCTTTTTTTTTTGCAAAAGCAAACCTTTTTTTAATTATTGCTTTTTATAAGTAAATATTGATTATATAAAGATGTTTCCTATTTTACAATAACAATTATGAAAAACGTTTTTTTGTTAGTTTTTATTATTATAAATATTTTTGGGTAAATGTGTGTAAATGAAGATGATGATGTTTTTTGTTGATTGGTGATGGTTACATAAACCATGGATGTTCAAAAAGCGTTTATTTTTATTAAATAAGTCGAAACACTTAAACGTTCGAAGTTTGTCAATTATTAAAACAAATTAATCTTGCGTGTACGTGTCACGGCAATTTAATTAATGATAGGAGCAACGCCGAAATTTTCGTGGTCTTACATAATTCAAGATGAATTTGGACCTCGCCTAGACGGCGACCTCCACGCACGCCTTATGAAACCTTGCACCAGAAACCTGGTTAAGAGAGTCACTTAATAATCTCTTCGGCTTTGAGAATCGATCCGCCACGGTCATCCGCCGACTCACAACTAAATGAAAGCTTGTAAACTCAATTAAATAAAATCATTCCTTTATTTATTGCTTCTTTCAATACTATTTTTTTTTTCTTTATCACAACGTAATTTCACAAAATGTTTCTCGCTCAGTCTACCGAATGTAAGCGATGATGCCGCAAGCTATAGGCTTTCCCGATGATCCAGTAGTAACACTATCCGCAGTCCCCGCTCGACCCAGATCATCCTCATTCATCGTCACCACCAAAGACCTTCCAATAACACCTCTGGGACCGTTCAAAGACATCTGATGATCAACAACATTCAACTCTGCAGCTCCAGAATCGTCGGCCTGGACGTTTCCCAAATTTCCGACATGTCTTTCAGGATCCCTGGGTCCACCGTGATGCAACTACAAAACCAATCTTAAGATTAAAAAAACTTACCAAGTGATACAATATTTACCAGGAAAGGATTGTAATGTTGACCCAGTTTCTCGCATCCTTGCCGCATGTCTCCCGCTTGATGGATATGAACTCCATGCTTTCCTGCTGTTAAACCTGTCAAATTACCTCTAATAATTACAGGTCCTGCAGGTGGATGTCTTTGCACGAAGATTATCTCTCCTTTGACGGTGTTTTCACCTTCGCTCTGCAGGACGGCCACCGCAGAAACCGCATGCAAATCCTGTAAACAAAAGAATCGATAAATTATTTTCGGACAGCACGCAATATTCGCATGACCCAAAAACCGCTGCTAATCTAGTGATTTTTTTTCGTTCTCAACAACGAAAAAAATATAGTTACATTATTATTTATTATTATTCATACACGATCTTTATTAACAAACACAAATGAGTACAAACTATACAAACTTAAATATTTCTTCACAAAGAAGTTAACGTAATGAAGTCGTTAAATATACATATATAAAGAAACATAATTTATCAATTTGTATATTGTATAAAAAAATAAATGACGAAATTATGAAGTATACATTAGAATAAAGTGCTTGTCTCATTTGGAAATAAATATATTTTGATGTAATTACACGATAATTTACAAATTACAAGAATCAAGTGTAAATTTAAGAGTCGAAAAGTTTTATTGATGTACAGAAAACCTTCAATATCTTTGATGGAGGAACAATCTTGGAAATCTCAAATTATCATGAAACTACAATAGCAGCGTTTCTCAACCTTTTTGACGTCCTACCCAACATATTTGTTTGTAGTTGTTCAGCGACTCAATTGCTAAGATTATTATCTCCAGTTCCTCAATTTGACACAAGATGACAGCTGTCATTTGGCGACTCAACCTGTTTGTTTGTAGATTCACAGAGACCCAATTGCTAAGAATATTTCTCCAGTTCCTCGCTTTGACACAAGGTAACAGCTGTCATTTTATGACCCAACACTTTGACACGCAATGTGACAGCTGTCATTTTGTGACTCAGTAATAAATATTCACATATTCAATATTCAAATATTCTATTTTTGTTTTCCTATAAAAACAGATTAATAATTTCTTATCTTGAGATATTTCAGTATTTATTAAACTGTAATATAATTGAAACACAAGGTGACAGCTGTCATTTCGCTACCCAACCTATTTGTTTGTAGATGCACAGAGACCCAATTAGTAAGACTATTTCTCCAGTTCCTCGCTTTGACACAAAGTGACAGTTGTCCAACACTTTGACACGCAATGTGACAGCTGTCATTTTGTGACTCATTAAAAAATATTGCGATTCATAGATTGAGAAACCCCGTTTTACAGTATTCTATTGTTGTTTTCTTATTAAAACAGCTTAATAATTTTTTATCTTGAGATATTTCAATATTTATATAACTATATGTAATATAATTGAAACACTAGGTGACAGCTGTCATTTCGCTACCCAACCTATTTGTTTGTAGATACACAGAGACCCAACTAGTAAGACTATTTCTCCAGTTCCTGGCTTTGACACAAGGTGACAGCTGTCATTTTATGACCCAACACTTCTACACGCAATGTGACAGCTGTCATTTGATGACTCATTAAAAAAAATGCGATCCATAGACTAAGAAACCCCGTTCTACAGTATTCTATTGTTGTTTCCTATTAAAACAGCTTAATAATTTTTTATCTTGAGATATTTCAATATTTATATAACTATATGTAATATAATTGAAACACTAGGTGACAGCTGTCATTTCGCTACCCAACCTATTTGTTTGTAGATACACAGAGACCTAATTACTAAGACTATTTCTCCAGTTCCTCGCTTTGACGCAAGGTGACAGCTGTCATTTTATGACCCTACACTTTGACACTCAATATGTCAGCTGTCAGTAAAAAAAAATTAAGATCCATAGATTGACAAACGCTGTTCTTTTCTTTTATTGAGATATTTCAATATTCATAAAATTATATATAATATAATTGAAATGATTATCAAACATTTAATTAAATGTAAAATTTAGGACACAAATTGCAAATTTAAAGTATTTGACAAGTAAATTTCGAAAATATATACTTATGCAATTAGTCTCAACACTTGAGCGAACATCATTTTCGTGCATATTCATTTTCTTTTTGTGTGTGCAATTTTTAATTGGCGAGGAAATTTCGTAGTTTCCCGGCTCAGCATAAGCAAATTAGAAACAATTACACGGTTAATTAATAATATTTTCGTTGCGTAATCGCATTTTCCTTTTGTTTCGTTCGTCTATTGTTTGCACCTATATGCAAAGTCAACAATAAAACATAGTAAGTGGAAACCCGTGAGATTTACAAGTTTATTTAAGTATAATTGTTTTCTGTACGTTTCCATAAAACGTACAAATATATTTTGCAATTTGATATAATTTTATTAAATATGAGCATTTTTGCAAATTATACATACATTTTTTGAAAAAAAAATTAATTGTTTTCCTTGAATAATTTTATTTCTAGCTTCCTTAAAAAGCAACATAAGCAATAATACCTCGCATAGTGCGGTTCTAGCAATACCACGGACTATTTCAAACCGGACTAATCGAGGAATAAATATATACAAACATTTAGAAAAACGATCATTTATGTATACAAAATAAGAACATATTTACAAATTAGTACAAGTTACTTAAATTCTTTGAAATAAAAAATTGTTAAATGTTTTCTTTGTATAATTTTATTTCTAACTTCCTTAACACGCAACATAAACAACAATACCTCGCATAGTGCGGTTGTAAAAATATCTCGGACTGTTTGAAACCTAACTAATCGAAATATAATTTTATTAAATATGAACATATTTACAAATTAGTACAAGTTACTTAAATTCTTTGAAATAAAAAAAATATTAATTGTTTTCCTTGTACAATTTTATTTTTAACTTCCTTAAAACGAAACATAAACAACAATACCTCGCATAGTGCGGTTCTAACAATACCACGAACTGTTTCAAACCAGACTAATCGAGGAATTAAACACATACAAAAATTTAGAAAAAAAAAACTATTTTGTACACTTTATTTCTAACTTCCTTAAAACGTATAATAAACAACAATACCTCGCATAGCGCGGTTGTAGAAATATCTCGGACTGTTTCAAACTTAACTAATCGAACTATAAAAGAATATTTTGTACACTTATTTTATTCAATTAAAATTTAGTTTGTACTAAAATTTATCCGTAAGTTTTCATTAAACGTAGAAATATATTTTGCAACTTAATATAATTTTATTAAATATGAACATATTTACAAATTAGTACAAGTTACTTAAATTCTTGAAATAAAAAAAATGTTAATTTCTAACTTCCTTAAAACGCAACATAAACAACAATACCTCGCATAGTTCGATTCTAACAATACCACGAACTATTTAAAACCGGACTAATCGAAGAACTAAACACATACAAAAGTTTCTAAGTTCTTTAAAACGTATAATAAACAGCAATAGCTCGCATAGTGCGGTTGTAAAAATATCTCGGACTGTTTCAAACCTAACTAATCGAACTATAAAAGAATATTTTGTACACTTATTTTACTCAATTAAAATTTAGTTTGTACTAAAATTTATCCGTAAGTTTTCATTAAACGTAGAAATATATTTAATAAATTAATATAATTTTATTAAATATGAACATATTTACAAATTAGTACAAACTACTTAAATTCTTTGAAATATTTTTTTTTTAATTGTTTTCCTTGTATAATTTTATTTCTAACTTCCTTAAAACGCAACATAAACAACAATACCTCGCATAGTGCGGTTCTAGCAATACCACGGACTATTTCAAACCAGACTAATCGAGGAAGTAAACACATACAAAAATTTAGAAAAAAAACTATTTTGTACACTTTATTTCAAACTTTCTTAAAATGTATAATAAACAACAACACTTCGAATAGTGCGGTTGTAGAAATATCTCGGACTGTTACAAACCTAACTAATCGAACTAAATATTTTGCTTAAAATTTAGTTTGTTTTTAAATTTAGTGAATATACGAAGTATTCCTGTATTCTTTAATTCCATATAATTATATTAAATATGAGGCTAATATGAGAAATTATACATTATCATACGCAATCAAACATAAAATAATTCAATGCCAAACTGATGTGTGAGTATAGAATCGCGAATGCCATTGAAAACAATGAAGTTGTTATTGTTTGTTGACCAAGTGAAGACAGTGTTTGGCTCATTAATAAATCACTTGATTATAGTCATTCTTCTTAGACGTAATGTTTGTACCTGCAATTAATTCCATAATTACACATGTGTAATTAAATAAATAAGGAATACGTAATTGTTTATTGTGTAGTTACGTCATTTAATTAGTAATGTCACTTTATAATTAAAAATAAATCTAATTTGATGATCCACGATCGAATTTTACAAATAACAAATTAAGGCTTAAAGAGAACTGATAAATGTTAAGAATGAAGTAAACTCAGATACCCTTGAAATCAAGACATGAAGAGTACTTTAAGTGTTAAAATTTATAAAATAGAGTAATAATAAAATTAGTTACATTTATTTATGTCAACAGTACAATAAGTAATGTTTACTCCTGCAATTAATTCCATAATTACACATGTGTAATTAAATAAAGAAAATGTAATTGTTACGTTATTTAATTAGTAATGTCACTTGATAATTAAGAATAAATGTAACTCGTTAATCCGCGGTCGAATTTTGCAATTGAATCTTAAAGAGTTCTCTTACTTATAGATACATGAATTAATCTAATATCCATGAAATCAAGGCATAAAGAGGACTTTTAAGTACAGTGGAACCTTGCTTAACGAGCAGAATGAATTGTAAGAAAAATGAGTCGCTTAACGAGCGACGTTTCGCATAACGAGTGACGTTGAAAAGAGAAGTCCCGGATTACGCGCCTGCTACATCATTTTTAAAACGTGTGAACACATATTATGTGTATTTTTGAATATTTTTCAGTATACCAGTAAAAATCCGGAAATTTTAGAACGAATTAAATTCGTTATGCAAGGTTCCACTAAAATTTACAAAAAAAAAATAAAGTAATATTAATAATTGTTACATTTATTTATGTCAAAAAGACACTATGCGCCTTTGATTATTACAAATTCAAATTATATCGTTATTTATATAAGTTCACATCAATTAATTTCCTCTGACTTTGTTTTGTTTTATTTCACATTTGCAATTAATTACTGCACTTAATTTAATTATGATACACTTTTCATTCATTCACAATTCCAAATTATAAAAAATAGTAAATTCAGACATAATAGATCCATTAATCCAGTAATCTAATTTCCATGAAATCAAGACATAAAGAGAACTTTTAGTATTAAAATTTTGAAATTCAGCAAACTATATTGGCTGCTCGGAAGAAAATCATGTTTATATTTTGATTATTATAAAATTTAGATTTAAAAAGGTCAAATTGACCTTTAGTAGCAGTTACGTTAAATAAATCTTCAGAAAGATATATCTTGTTAGTAAGAGTACAAATTAGTTTACTAAACATAATTAGAATTTAATTAATTAATTCTAAATTAAAAAAGACAACTTTCTGAAATTGATATTTTCATATAAAATTTCAAATTTTTTTGTACAAAAATCTATAAAATTAATTAAAAAATAAAACATATTTCATTAAATTCATAAAATTTGTTCATATTTTATTATTATAAACAAGCAATTTTAAGCTTAAAGTGAATTATATAGATTTAGATTACAAAAACGGATCAATTTTCAAATATATATATTTAGCAACAATATTGTTTTATTAACTTACTTCATGGTATTCTGCTATACAATTTTTCTTTTCGTTACAACATAAAAAAGATTACATTAAAACACCAACTATTATTTAGGTCTGATTCTCATCTCTTTATAATTTAAATTGTTTTTATGTCAACGAGACACCAGACGCCTTATTACATCTACAATTAATTACTGCACTTAATTTAATAATGATACACTTTTAATTAATAATTCCAAAATCAAATAAGAAGTAAACTCGGACATAAAAGATCCACGAATGAATCTAATATACAACAGACTTAAAAAGAACTTTAAAGATTACTAAAAATAAATATTTATAATAAAATTACTTAATTTTTTTCATGTCGACGAGACACCAGACGCCTTGGATTATTACAAATTTAAAATATATCGTTATTTATAGAAGCTTACATCAATTAATTTGCTTTAATAATAATACACTTCTTTATAAAAAGAAGTAAACTCGGTCATAAGGATCCACAAATTAATCTAATATACAAGAAACGAAGACTTAAAGAGAACTTTAAGTAATAAAAAGAAATATTAGCTTAAATTTCTATATGTCAGCGAGACAGCAGGCGCCTTGGATAACTACAAATTCAAATTATATCGTTATTTAACCCTTTATAACCTGAACATAGTTAAAATTTTAAAAAAATCTTTGGATTTCTTTTAAAACACATTAAAATTAAGTTGCATATAATTTTTTTATTAAATTTCAGCAATATTTTCAATGAACAAAATATGTGGAACTTTTTGATTTCGATTACAAAAACGGATCAATCTACATTTAATAACAATTTTGTTTTATTAACTATACAATTTTTCTTTTCGTTACAACATAAAAAAAAAACATTAATGTACCAACAATTATTTAGGTCTTTTTCACATCTCATTATAATTTGAATAGTTTTTATTTACATTTAAATTTTTTATGTTAACGAGACACTAGACGCCTTGGATTATTACAATTTCAAATTATATAGTTATTTATAGAAGCTCACAACAATTAATTTCCTATGAATTTGCAACAATTGAAGATTTAAAGTAAACTTTAAAGATTACTAAAAATAAATATTTATAATAAAATTACTTAATTTTTTTCATATCAACGAAACACCAGGCGCCTTGGATTATTATAAATTTAAAATATATCGTTATTTATAGAAGCTTACATCAATTAATTTGCTTTAATAATAATACACTTCGTTATAAAAAGAAGTAAACTCGGTCATAAGGATCCACGAATTAATCTAATATACAAGAAACGAAGACTTAAAGAGAACTTTAAGTAATAAAAAGAAATATTTAAAAATATTTAAATTTCTATATGTCAGCGAGACAGCAGGCGCCTTGGATTACTACAAATTCAAATTATATCGTTATTTAACCCTTTATAACCTGAACATAGTTAAAATTTTAAAAAAATCTTTGGATTTCTTTTAAAACACATTAAAATTAAGATGCATATAATTGTTTATTAAATTTCAGCAATATTTTCAATGAACAAAATATGTGGAACTTTTTGATTTCGATTACAAAAACGGATCAATATACATTTAATAACAATATTGTTTTATTAACTATACAATTTTTCTTTTCTTTACAACATAAAAAAATTACATTAATGTATCAACAATTATTAGGTCTGTTTCACATCTCATTATAATTCGAATAGTTTATGTATATTTAAATTGTTTTTTATGTCAACGAGACACCAGACGCTTTGGATTATTACAAATTCAAATTATATAGTTATTTATAGAAGCTCACAACAATTAATTTCATATACATTTGTTTTGTTTTATTTCACATATACAATTAATTACTGCACTTAATTTAATAACGATACACTTTTAATTAAAAAAAAAAGTAAATTTGAACATAAAAAATCAACAAATTAAGGTAATATATAACAAATGAAGACTTAAAGTTTCAAAAAATTAAATATTTATAATAAAATTACTTAAATTGTTTTTATGTCGACGAGACAGCAGGCGCCTTGGATTATTACAAATTCAAATTATATAGAAGCTTACATCAATTAATTTCCTATTCATTTGTTTTTGTCTTATTTCACATTTGTAATTAATGACTGCACTTAATTTAATAATAACACACTTTCCAAATATCATAATTTCAAATTATAAAAAGAAGTAAACTCGAGCAGTCTTAAAAAGAACTTTATGGATTAAAAAGCAAATATTAACTTACAATTCTTTATGTCAGCGAGACATCAGGCGCCTTGGATTATTACAAATTCAAATTATATCAATATTTATAGACACGCTTGTTTATTGAATTTCAATTATATATATTTTTTAATTATTACTACTATTGCAAATTAAGTGACCAATACAAATTTGATATTTTCTATATTTAAAATTGATCTGAGAAAAAACTGAACTTTGAGTCTAAAGGTAAATCTTAAAAGGTTAATTTGCAATAATTGTGTACATTTCTCTCGTGTATTTCTACAGTTAATAATAATGTTGTAAGATCTAGATCTTAATTTTTATTTTAACAAGAATTATTTAAAGAAATAATCTTTGTTTAAATAATGTAAGTAAAGTATAATTTCCTAAAGAATGTTTTCATATTTTAATGATAAAAAAAAGAAGCAAGTCATAATTGAAATACTTACGAAAGTGTATGGTTCCATGTATACTTCGTACAGATCGCTTTGGACGTTCTCTATACCTGGATAAGGTTTGATGATGAGCGGTCTATGGCCTATACCTGGGACGTTGTACAAAGCCCCTTGGATCCCTACAGCAGGAAGAGCCGAGGGACGGACGTGACTCATCCCCAGGAGGAGACAGCATACGAATAGAGCAGCAGAATTGGATTGAAGAAACGACATCTTCTCGCATATCGTCGGATCACTGACCACGTTTGATGAATTGGGCTGTATTCGAAAGCGTTCAATTGGGCTTCCACCCACGAAACGATGTGCGGAATTGCGACCGTCCGAGTCTCGTATAAATACATCCCGATCCCGGCCAATTCTAACGTCGCATGACACACACATAAACACGAACATAAACACGCCAAGAGTTATCATTAATGCGAGAAAGGGGAAGGATGATGATGATATTGGTGATGATGACAACGGAGAGAAACGCAAAAAAAGAAACCAATAACGAACGCACCAAGGTAGGAAGAATAAGAAGATGCTGAAGCGGAAAGTATGATCATGGTGATTACAATAATAGTAAAATAAACAATTACTGGGAATGCGTGGATTGATGGAGCAATGATGTAAACGTGCGACAGAGGTCACATATTTGCGCTCTCCGATTCCGAACGCATCCAATTAAAGAAAGTTTTCAGGGACCGACGTCGTCCTTGATGGCGTTGATGTTACTAGCTGCTGCAGAAGGCGGAGGAACGTTTCAGGATCCAACTTTGCAACACTTCCATTCTTTGGCAATGCCAGAGATTCTTAATAATCATGATGGACTGTCCCCCCAGCTATTAGCCTCGCGCTTGCAAAACTGTCGATAAATTGTATTACCTCATGATTAATTGAAGAAGACGTACCTTTCCAATTATTAATATTTTTGTTGTGTTCTCTCCGCTGTAACTAATTACGCATCGACTGAAGCACCTGCAGGTAATTACCTTCTCTGACCTGACACAGTGCGAAAGCAATTTTCGGTATTCGATCAACGTGTTTCTCGGGAACTTTACTTTCTTGTCTCTTCATTTTTACTTCAAACCTTCCAATCCCATAAATCATTTGCATTTCTTACGGTTCATACATTATTCAGCGAATGGAATCGATTTGATTTTCATCAAAAAACTTCTTTCATTTCCAGGAACTTAAGCACTTCTCTTCATTTATTTAAATCGTATTCATTGAACTAAATAATATATTTAAAACTAATTACAGTAATTATATTTTGTTACACGTAATAATCTATAATATTATAAATGTTATTATTGATAAAAAAAAAATAATTACTCATTTGAAACATTAGGTTTTTTATTGATTAACAGTAAAAAAATATAAAAAAAGGATCAAGTCTTTTTTGATAAACATAAAAACTAAGAAGAGAATCCAACTTGCCAATATCAATATCAAAATTAAGTAATTTTGTAAGTAATAAAGTTTTGGATTTTAATGCAATGAATGGTCAGCAAAACTTTTATTTTGTTTGTTTGTCCTTCAATCATAGTACTCCTGCTATGACTGAAAAACAGAAAAACGACGTTACAGTTTTTCATGAATTTCTCGACTGCCCTTTAAGATAATTACATTATCTATCATTGGTAGGAAAGCTGTATGTGTCACCTTTCCAACGAGCCTACTGGTATCATCGTGTAGCTACCGGCATTCCTGCTATGACTGAAACAGAAAAACTACCTTAGTCTCGAATAACGCTGCTAAATTAAATGGAACTAATTTTCTTTTGGGACAATTTTTTATGTGAAATGGTACTATAAATTCGATACTTTAACAGAAGGCTTTGTTAATTTAAGTATTGTCGTTATTGCATTGATCATGTCAGTGTCAAAAACCCGCGAATCATCGAAATGTCGAAATTATAAGTTAAATTTGGATGAAGACCAAGCATTTCGCGTTTACAAACTCATTCTAATCAGTCACGCATTACCACAAATTATCGTTTAAGACCTAAGCAACCTCGATCCCAAGAATGACAGTGAGAATGCGTCGAGACTGGATGTAATATCTTAGTGTATGTTGTTTTTTTTTTGTAGTCTATCAGTAATCGTCTGGACAGAATAGAAAACGAAATCCGTTTGCTTCTGGACACGCAACGCAAGAAAATTACAATAAGTGGTAATCTTCCAAGTGTAACATCTTCGGAAGTCAACGAGTTCGTAAGCAACAGAACGCGCAGCTCTTCCGCTCCATCGAAACACATATGCTCGTAAGTTTCGTAACAATTTCCAAAATGTGTTTGTTTTCTTTTAATATTACTAATTTAAATGTAGAAAAAGCGAGTGCAGCGATTGCAACAGAGGTCGTTGCTTGTCTCTGAAGCGGACGAAAAGCTCTTTCACAACCTGCAGCTGTCCGTGTTCGCAAGATCGGTGCCCGAAGAAGAGGAATAAATGCTTGGAATCAGGTGTGATTACGTCTGCATTTGGATTAATCAATTAACTTTAAGTCTTCAGTTCCAATATGTCCTTGTCCACCCACTTGCGATCCTTTCGAATGCTCCAATCACGAGGAAGGATCATGCTGCAATCACGAAGAACCCAACGATCTTTGTTCCTCGACGTGCAGACTCAGATATATGGAGCAGGTTTAGTATAATGGCATCGAGTGATCTTACATAATAAATTGTTCTTGATTAGAAATTGAAAGAGGAAAGTAAGCGAAACGATTGTTTGGAAAAGGAAATTATAAAGCTGAGGGAGTTGATTAAGGAGCTGAATAAAAATCAGGAGACGGCTTCGGAGATTTGCAAGAAGTGGAAGGAAAAGTACAAAGTTTTGAAGAAGGATCAGAGCCATGTCGGAGATGATGTCAGGAAAAGACAGCTGTGCACTTTGGAGGAGGAAAAGTCGCAGGCTTTGATCACCATTCGTAATTACGAAAAGCAGATATCGTGCCACAAGATGATCGCTGATAAATATGATAAATTGTTGAAGATTGTGACGGAGAAGAATTGCACTATTGGCGATCTGGAGCAGCAGGTGAGGGAGCGCGACAACGAGAACAAAATGATTTACACGAAGTGTCGCGATTTGGAGAACGACCTGACCATTGCAAACGAAAAGTATAATCAGCTTAGGAAGACTAACGAACATCTTGCTGCTGAAGTCATCAATAAATGCAAATGCTTCGAGGCTAGCAATTCTGTAACAGAAACTGAACTGAAAAAATACAGAATGGAAGTAGAAAAGGCTAAAGAAGTAAGTTCAATAACTTATAATTAAAATGTGATTTGTTAATGGTGTTTTGTGTTTTAGGAGGTGATTAGATTACAAGATCAATTGAATCACGCTCGTTGTCAATTAGGTGAAGATTTGAATAGAGTAACATTGTTGGAGACGGAGTTACGTGGCGCAAAGAAACGGGATAAATGCGCTAAAAAGATCATAGCCACCTTGGAAATTAAGTTAGAAACCATGGAGACAGACTATGGTAAACTGAAGATCACATGTCAGAATAAGCTGTTGAAAATGGAAGTAGAAAACGAAAAGTTGAAGAAACGTTGTGAACATTTAGCCGACGAATTAAACGATTTGAATGTGAAGAGCACCACCAGGTTAAATCGTAAAAATAATAAGAATGTATTGTACTGAATGCTTTGTTTTTAGGGTGAAATCTTTAGAATCGGAGATGGAAAGCTTCAAGTCGTGTTCGTGTCTGAAAGAGCAGGAGTTGATTGCTGAAAAGGATGAGCTTCGGAATCTCATACAGGAGCTATCTGACGTTGTGGCGCGACAAAAGGAGAGAATAAATGATCTGATCAGTTTGAAGAATCAGCAGAACAGCATCATAGCCGTGCAGAATTCGTCGCTGAGCTCGAAAGTAAATGAGGTTTGACCGTGTTGCTTGGTATTTTAAACTCAAGCAGGATTGCAGGAGTCCGAGCTGCGGACGCACGAGGTCGAGGCGGTAAAGGTGAAGACCCAATACGCAGACTTGGAGAGGCACATAAGATCCTTGAAGGATTCGCTCAAGACAGACAGCCTCATCGGTAACGCCACATTGGAGAATGAAATCAACGCTCTCAGGTAAATCCGTCTTTGTGGCCTTCAATTTCCTTTTTAAAAAAAGTTCATGATTTACTGATTAGAAAATTATTGGATGAGCAGAAGGACAAGCTCAAGATTAAGGATAAGATGCTGGATGACCAGACGAATACGATTATGCAGTTAAGGAGAAAGATCGGTGAAAAGGAGGATACCGTGGCTTCACTGTACCGCGAGCTGAACGGCGAACGCAAGGAAAAAGCAGATCTGGAGAAGAGATTGACGGTGCGGAATTTTCCATCGAGTTGGAAAAAGGTCAAACCTTGACACGCAATCTGAAAATCATGTTTTTTTTTTGTTTGTTTCCCATTATTATTCGTAGAAAAGCGAATCGGAAAAGGACGCAATCAATATGAATCTCGTTAACGCCAAAAAGGAATGCCAAATGCAGTGCAGCCTGATTTCCAATCTGGAGAAGAAGTTCAAGCTGAAATGTCAGGAGTGGAGACTGCAGAGTGACCTGTACTTCAAAGAAAAGGAGAACGCGTTGAATGCAGCAAGATTCGCCACGCAGCAGCTGAATAGCAGTATGAAGGAGTTCCAGGATCAGTGCCATTCCCACAACAAGCTTCGGGTCACCTTGACACATCTGCTGCGTGAAAAAGATGTAAAGTTAAAGTCAGCTATAGCCGAGGTAAAATAAAATTAACAACTAATAGCCGGTGCGTGTAGATTTCGATTAAATCGCTTTCGTATCTCAGATAAGTTCCCTGACCCTTGACCCGGAAGTGCTGGCAATAACTGACGACGTTGACCCCGACGGAAATAGATCGGATCGAATGGAAAGCGAAATCAGCAAGGACCAGGTCGGTCCACAGGACTGCTCAACGCACGCGAAACGAAAAATAATAAATCTCTCGTTTTCAGACTTGGAAATCGACGATTGAAAAATCAGAGAAACATAAAGTGGATGACCGTAATCCTTTTTCCTGTCTACTCAAACAGCCGCAGCCTAAGGCTTCGACAGTTAAAAAGGATAAGTGTTGCGGCGTCGCAATGGAATATGAACAGCAATATTATAAGCAGGTCAAAGATACGATAAACAAGATTTTCGACGATGCAGCCGTGTCCAGCGATTCGGATCACCTGAACAAAGTCGAATACATAAGCGATACTCTCTCGGATTGCAGCTGTCTGTATTCAAATCCTGATTTTGTGTGTTCAACCGAATGCTCGAGATATTCAAATCGTACCAAAACAGATAGTAAAAAGACTTAAATTATTGTCTTTTCATCAATTATAATAGTATAATATACATTGTATAATAATTCATATAAAATTAAATAAGCTCAAAGTCTTCCCACAAACTTAGAATTCATGTTCTTTATGTAGAATATTTGTTACAAATCTACAACTACGTAATTTAATTTAAAAAAAGTACGTAAATATTTAAATTAGTTTTGAAATGTGGATTCGCAAAGAAAGTCTGTCAATCTTGTTAATATAGAAATATAATCAAAATAGTTTTTGTTTAAATATATACAAGTTTCTTGATAACTTCGCCAAACCATAAAGTTGGCTTGGAATACTCTAGTAATGGAAATGTTACAAATAAATATGCGCATAAAAAAGTATTAAAAAGTATAAAAATAAACATTCAGCCGTAACTTATTTGTAAATAGCTTCGTACTGAGAAATAAGATCGTCGACGGATGGTCTGGATCTCATATCATATTGTAAACAGTCTTGCATGGTCTTGATAATTCTTTCTGGTACCCAATCCACCGGAGGATAATTGATTTTATGATCCGGATTGCTGATGGCTACAAATTTCTGAAGCGGCTGAACGATATGCTGGAATGGTGTCTTCCGATAAATGAGCTGATACAGTATACAACCCAATGACCATACGTCAGATTTAAAACTGATCTGAAAAAGTTCAATAATGTTTAGTAATAAGTAACAAATCGAAATGAATGAATCTCACTTTAAACTTTTGTTTTCCATAATTTGGACTGTCATCGTTCGTCGATGAATCATTGCTGAGGGCCTCCGGGCTGATATAACTGAACGTTCCCAAAGACACATTTTTGATGACGCTCGTCATATCGCTTTGAACGCTCGACGCGATCCCAAAGTCTATCAACTTTATGCGACCGTTGACTTCCAGGAAATTCGCGGGTTTAAGATCGGAATGTATAACACCTCTGTCGTGAATCTCCTTAACGGCGTAAAGCATTTCCATCCAATAGTAAATGACCATGTAAAGTGGCATATGGGTGGAACTATTCACTAACTCCCTTAATATTATAGCCAAATCTTTTCCACCTTTTTCCAGTACCACAAACAGTCTTTTCTTATCCGTCAAAATTTGACTATAAACAAGCATAATCATAGAAAATGTGTAATTAAAGAAAAAATAAAAAATTTATTTACTTACTAAGCATACAACTTTATGATTCTATGGCAGCCCTGCAATTTAACCAATGTTTTGACCTCATTGATAAACGATTTCTCTTGTTCCTTGTCACAATTCAGACTAACACATTTAATGGCACAAGCTGTTTTCGTCTGTGGATTAAAGCAATCGTAGACAGTAGAACTTCCACCCTTTCCAAGCACATTCAGAATGATATATGTTTTGTCAATTACTGTGATTTGCTTAAAAAAATCTTTAATTTTCAATTCAACATTTTTCTTATCCTCATTCTCTTTATCCTCATCCAATGGTTTGGATAACTTTGATTGTGGTGTTGCAAATGTATTCTTAGCTGAATTCTTCTTTTGTGAGTTTAACAAGTTAGCACCAACACTGTTTTGCCCGTGAACAGGTGTGGCTTTTGGTTCTTCCTCCTGCTGCTGCTTTACAGCCATGCTCGTTGTGCTTTCTCCTGAATCCTTGGAGTTTTCATCCGTGGAACTGTCTCCAAAATATGCATCACCTTTTTCTAGTAGTTTCGCCCATTCCTCATAAAAATTAAAATATGTCCTTGTTTTCTTTTTGACTTCCCTGAAAATTGAAGGTTTAAATGGAATGTTTTTTTTTTTGTTTTATTTGTTGAATTCTTGTAAATACTTATTTTCAGCGGTTTGGCAGATTGCTGCAGTGTCTGGGTTTACCTGAGTACCACTACTTGTGCTTGCAGTTAAGGAGGCATTCCTGGGTTCTGCGAATTCCTTGCTCATTTTATTATTTTACATATATTCGGCACCTGCAAGCAAATTAACAAACAACACCTAGGCCATACATGCAACTAGGCACCATAAAAACAAATATTCAAATATTTTTAGGTTATGTTATGTGTCAAAGGACGCTTCCAACGGTTTTTAGAGCCATCATTCCTCATTAACAAATATTTGAAAGAATTAATTAATACTTTTAATTAATAACTCCGTTTAATTATATTACTTTCTTTTTATCTTATTATCTATAGGCAAAAGGATCTTCTTTTGATTATAATAAAATAGTTATTTTACTCAAAGATTCATATATTTATATACAACACTTATATTTAAAAAGTAATTAATATTTATTATTTTACAGTAAACAAAAGTTGGTGTTCGGATTATTATTATTAAACTTAAATCTAATGAAAGGAAGAAAACCAAATGTAATATCGTCGATAAAGTCGCGAACAACAAAGAAAAAAAAACAAGACAAACGCTCTTTCTGCTATCATGGTAATAGATACCATTTGCATGATACAAATATGCATTTCCATTTGTATCAGAGGTACAAAATACACTTGCTACTAATTCTAATTTTGTGAAATAAACTATAATTTCTAAAAAATACGTTTCCGAGTCTCAGGAAACACGTTTGCATCATTTAAAAACAATTGAACAAAGTATACTTGGGGGAACACTCAACAAATATAACATTTTCAGTCGGCGCAGGAGATTTTCGTTTTCTTTTTACTTCATCTCTTTGGTGTAAGCATCAAGTTCAGCGTCCAGCTCTTCCGCCGTGGGCGCTGATTTCCTTGGAGCTTTGGCGTTACGTGCAGCTCCTCTACCTCCTCTGGTACCTAAAAAAAATAATAATTACAATTAGTATTTAATCAATTAATAAAAAAAATAAAATTATTACCTCTTGTAGGTCTACTCCTGGCTGCAAGTGGACTCTTCCTTGTACTAGGTTTAGTGAATTTGTTCTCAGCTGGTGGCGTTCTCACACCTATCCTGCTGCTCCTCAATGGAGAAACCTCTGATGTGGTTATTTGGATATTCATTGCACGACCATCCAATGGCACTCCATTGTACTGTTTCAGGGCTTTGTGGGCATCCATTTTCCTCTCAAAGATAACATCCGCAGTGCCCAAAGACCTGCCTGATCTGTCATAGTGGACTGCTGCACTTTTCAGTGGGCCAAACTCGGCGAACAATTCCTGAATATCAGAGTCTGATACACCGAAATCTAGGTTGGAGACCAACAGCTTTGTTGGGCCTGAGGCTGGCTGCTGCTGATGCACAGCGGCTTTGACAGCTGCAAGTTTGCGTGGGCCAAAGCCCTCAAACAGATCATGTTTCCAAGCACCATTGACATCTCCCTGCAAGACACAATAACTCAGATAAGCACATAATTGTAACACAACACATGAATAGCACTAGTTTGAAAACCTCGATACAAGAAAAGTTTCTTTTAATTTTTAATTTACAGCAAATTCATTATTATAGTATAGTATATAAATAAACTATGGATGCTTTTGTTTCACTATATGAAAAAAATTCTGGAAAGGATGTAAGAATTGCAAACGCAATGTACCACCTTTTGACCCACTACGCATGTTCATTATTATAATCTTGTGGAAAATGACCAGTAAAAAGGAATTATCCTATAATTTAGGTAAATATGATTTTGATTCAGTTGTCTAAAATTTTTGGACAAACTTAAGCGAGGTTCGAATGTAGTCTAAAATTGTATTCTTACCCTGGTGTGTGGTCTGACAATAGCACCACCACGACTGCGACCCTTCTGAACGCCACCTCTTTGGGAGCCCTTGAACGGTGGACTTCCTCCACCTGATGCACTACCTCCGCTGCGACGAGCACCACCACCAGAGTTGCGAGTAACTCCTCCACCACGACCGCCTCTTTTGTTTCCACCAGAGTTACGTCCTGTTCCTCCAGCAGCAGAACCTCGTGGCTTCTTTCCAGACTTGATGATGTCGTCCAAACTCATATCGATTTTGTCAACCATCTCGAAGGAAACTGAATTGAACAACGATATGGAAACGAAACAAACAATAAACACTGATGGCACCGTTTATACAACAACAACAACAAGAGTTGCAACACAAATGGCGGATGATGATGACTGATGCGCTTACAAACTGACGCTCGAGCTATATACTTTGCGACAAACTTCCGTGCGGTTGCGCACTAGCTAAGAAACACTTCTTTGACGTCGTCTCCTTTCCACCAAAGCCTATGTAACCGTAGAGACGTAACTCTTTTATTACTAGGCAATAAAATTTTAAATTGCCAACAATACAAGGGAAAAAAATATGTTTGAAATTTTCAAAATTCTTTGGAAATTTTCTATATTTCATGACCATCCTCATCGTTCCTCTGCAGAACTTTCTGCGAATTTATCAGTAACTTCGTCTTATTGTTTTCTGGAAATTTGAAAAACAAGTCAATGATTTTTTAATCACTTATTTACCTGAAATTTCTTCAAAAATTTCAATTTCATAATGAAATTTAAATATTTAATTAATAAACATTTATTTAATAATTTATGTAATAAATAACAAATATGTGTAGTTCTTATGTAATTGATTAGTTGAAATGAAATATAAAGTAATCAATTAATAAGCTTAATTTAATCAAAATTTGGTATACATTTAAACAATTGATTTACAATATCAAACTATATCGAAATCCCGACTACCATAATCCCTACAATCAAAATCCCGACTATATCGAAATCCCGACTGTATTGAAATCCCGGCTGTATTAAAATCCCGACTATGTCAAAAAACCTACTACCATAATCCCTAAAATCAAAATCCCGACTATATCGAAATCCCGAATATATCAAAATCCCGACTGCCATAATCCCTACAATCAAAATCCCGACAATATCGAAATCCCGACTGTATCGAAACCCCGACGTTCGAAATCCCGGCTGTATTAAAATCCCGAATACCATAATCCCTACAATCAAAATCCCGACTGCCATAATCCCGACTATATCGAAATCCTGACAATATCGAAATCCCCACTATATCGAAATCCCGAATACCATAATCCCGACTATGTCAAAATCCCGACTACCATAATCCCTACAATCAAAATCCCGACTACCATAATTCCTGCAATCAAAATCCCGACTATATCGAAATCCCGACTGTATCGAAATCCCGGCTGTATTAAAATCACGACTACCATAATCCCTACAATCAAAATTCCGACTATATCGAAATCCCGACGTTCGAAATCCCGACTGTATTAAAATCCCGACTACCATAATCCCTACAATCAAAATCCCGACTGTACCGAAATTTCGACGTTCGAAATCCCGATTATATCAATATCCCGACTACCATAATCCCTACAATCAAAATCGCGACTATATCGAAATCCCGGCTGGCTCAAAATCCCGACTACCATAAAAATGTTATTGTAGAAATTTATAATAAAAGACTGTCGGGATTTTGATTGTCAGAATTTTGATATAGTCGGGATTTCGAACATCAGGATTTCAATAGACGAGATTTCGGTTGTCGGGCTTACGATTGCCACCGTTTTATGTAGATACAAACAAATATGTGTAGTATTTAATTTTATTAATTTATGTAATTAATTAGTTGAAATCAAATATAAAGAAAACATTTAATTAGTATAATTAATTTGATCAATGTTGGTATACATCGTAAATATATCAATAAGTGTACATTATCAGAAGATTGTATTACAATTTTAAATTATTTGTTATTGAATGAAAACTGAAATAAATACGTTAATGGAAATTCTTTACGGAAATCAAAAATACGTAAGATACGTAACATATTTGACCTATGACCACTGTAGTTTCACAAAATTGTTATTTCATAAGATCATAATATTTACTTAATATCTTTTAGAAGAAAAAAAAATATAAATTAATTTATTGAAAATTTGCAAAAAAATTATATTATAATAACTTAAAACAATAACATAAAATGAAACCAATTTAAACTGCTGCAAAGGGCTATGGTCTTTCTGCCCTTCATATTATAAAATTTAAAGCAAAAGGTCTTTGGCCAATAAATAATTAAACTTTAAAAAATATAATTAAATAAAAAAAATTGGAAAGGCGCAGAGGTTTAATTAATTTCTTATAATATAGTAACTAATAAAAAAATCTTCGTTAATAATAGAAATATACAATAGAAACAGTACAGATGTGCATAGTGGGAAAAATAATTATACAATTTATTTAAAATTTGTTTAATTTATTTTTGCAGTAAAAATGTTCATACTGCTGCAAAGGGCTATGGACTGTAGATCTTTCTGCCCTTCATATTATAAAATTTAAAGCAAAGAGTCTTAGGCCAATAAATAATTAAACTTTAAAAAATAAAATTAATTAAATAATTTGGTAAATGAAGAAGAAATTTTTTTGTTAGATTATAATAGTATTATTATTTAAATATATGTACAGATAGTTAAACATTAAGATTGATTAGATTATCTGATAGTTTGGGACATGTGCAGAGGTGTAAGTAAAAGCTCGAAAGCGGCATCTTTCAGATTAGCACCACGCAAGTTAGCTTCGTGGAGATCACTGCCAGACAGATCACAGTTCTCTAGATCTGCACCAGCAAGAACGGCTCCTTTCAAATCGCACATCTTCAAGTTGGCGTTCTTTAAAGTAGCAACCCTAAGATTGACTCCTACCATATCCGAGCCTTCCATGTTGGCCCCCTTAAGATTAACACCTTCCATATTCGTTTTGATACCCTGCCGAACATCGAATTTGCAGTTTCTCATTTGAGCGCCTTCCAAATTCGCGCATAATCCTTGAATGCCCAACAGTTGAGCCCCATCGATTGTAGCGTAGGATAAATCCGCCCTTTCCAAACAGCACCAGCTCAGATTCGCGTTCTTCAAATTGCAACCCTTCATATTTGCATACTTGAAGTTGATGTAACTCAAGTCCAAACGGCTCAAATCAGCGCCGGCCAAATTGACCCCCTGAAAACGAAGTTCCGTTTTTGTGGCGCACGTTGTTAACGAGAGAATTACGTCTCGTCTAGTCAGAGGCGTATCATCACGATCGATTTCGACGCGTTGGATCATCTGCTCCAAGGTGGGCACAATCGAATCGATTCCAAAGAAAATCGCCTCCTCCAAAATGCCCTTAGGATTGACATGGTGGTCATAAATCAGTTTGCCAGTTCTAAGGAAATTCAATATTGGTTCAAAGTACGTCGGATTTCTGTCAATGAGATAAGCCCCATTCGCATCTGTTCTGCTTGGAATGAATTGACACCCAGTGGAGCTCCTCTTGGCAAACATTCTTGCAAGCATAGAGCCTTGCTCAGCAGTCAGGGTGCTCTGTGTTAACATAAATACTTTACCACCAACATTCAAGGTGACCCAATCAGAGTTGATTGGTTTGAACTTTGCATCCATGTCACCATCAAAGTACACAGCCTCATTATCCCGAATTGCCTCCAAATCCATAATTTCTGAACCTGCTTCATTGAATATCTTCATATCATTAACAGAACTACATTTGAAGGCCTCAAACACCTTCATGCACAGCTCCAACCTTTTCTTTGGAACTACAAATACCTTCAAAGAAATACATTTAATAGAAATACCATCCAGTACCATAACATTACCTTGCCATCAGTACATGTTCCATTTTTAAAAACAGTTACCCTTCTCTCTGACATCATAAGATAATTGTACTCTTTAGAAACTTAAAGATATAACATTCTAAATATTCTTATATATTCAACTGGATATCCCATAGGAACAGGTTATAAACACCAATAACAAAAATAATAAACAATCTGTTGTGACACAGCCAAGGCGCAATCATCGATTTTTAGTTCGAATTTACCATTTAGTTAGCGCCACTTGTTCCAAGTACTAAATAATTTGAATTTTGAATATATTTTAAACAATAAACCTAAAGAAAAGGACAATGAATCCAGTCTATTAGAACTGAATGCACATTTTTAACACTCAAATATTGTTATATTTTAGAAACACTAATGTAATGGTACAAATTCTAATTTATATTATTCAAAAACGGTATTTTTTTTTATTATAAAATCAATTATTGCTTTCTTAAAATATAGCAACCAATAAAAAAAATCTTCGTTAATAATAGAAATATACAGTTTTTCCATAGCTCGATGAGCATGCAACCAACAGTACAGATGTGCATAGAGGGAAAAATAATTATACAATTTATTTAATTTATTTTTGCATCAAAAATCTTCATACCATTAAGCTACACAAGAATGTTAAATTACAAAAGATGGTTGGTAATAGATTTTCACATTTTGGTATATGAAGCATGTGAACGTGTATAAACTTCGCATATATATTATCAAAGTACACAGTGTTATTATCCCGGATTGCCACCAAATCAATAATTTCTGAACCTGCTTCATTGAATATCTTAATTTGTCTAGTACATCTCATATGAAAGAATACTTTCAAAGAAATCTCTTTCGGTCCTATTTCTACCCCTTTTGGGTTTAACAGCCACCACAAATTTTTGTTGGATTTTTGGGAACCAAGGAGCTTTCGTATCAGATTTTCATGATACAGGTGATCATAGTCACACGTAATTACATTTTAATTGCTTGAAATTCTGTTCCAATCCCACAACTCTATAATCAAGTGGAAGTATGCAACTTCGCTTTCACCTTACGGTGTATTTAGTCAGTCATGTTCATACCTCTGTCTGTTTGGTTGCGGTCATATCTACAAGCACACCATCAACATTTCTGAGACTCAACCTGGTTCAAGTGGTTCATAATTGTTTATAATACTACCCTATGTTATATGTTACATTTCGTCCCTACAGAGCACGCGGCGGAAACTGGCGAAATTGTGAGCGGCACAAGCTAAATTAGAAGGGTTGTAGAAGGAAGAAGAAGAAGAACTCTAGGGAATTTTGATTTGTTTTTTTTTCATGTTGGCATCACTTTTTCTGAGTTGATAGACTGGCCTCTTCTTAGTTTCCGCTTCCTTTTCGTTAAACACCGCAGCCATGAAGGCCAAAGGAGAGGTTAGTTTCTGTTATTTTTCTCGTTTTCAACTAAGTTTTTATTAAAAATATATACACAAACAGCAATGTTAAAACGCGTTCTATCGTTTGTAATACAGTTTCCATGCGTTTCATCGATTTCCATTGAAAAGTGCAATTCAGTGTTCTTAATTCCACGTGTTTACGGAATCTGGTTTGGTTATTTTGTGTATCAAAATATTTTTGCTCAGCTCGTTTATAACATATACGAATCATTTTGTTTCAACGCATCCAACATAGTAATATTCGCCTTGTTTACGTGTAACATTGTTGTGTTTATATTTCCATATTGGTTATCTTCAAATTTTAATGCATTTGTATTTTGTTTGTAGTTGAAAGAATATGAAGTCATTGGGCGCAAGCTCCCAACTGATAAGGAGCCTACAACTCCTTTATATAAAATGAGAATCTTCGCTCCAGACCAAATTGTAGCCAAATCCCGTTTTTGGTACTTCTTGAGGCAACTGAGGAAGTTCAAAAAGACTACTGGAGAGATTGTCTCCATGAAACAAATACATGATAAGAGCCCTACCAAAATCAAGAATTTTGGTATATGGTTAAGATATGATTCACGGTCAGGCACACATAATATGTACAGGGAGTACCGTGATCTGACTGTGTCAGGTGCTGTGACATTATGCTATAGGGACATGGGTGCCCGTCATCGTGCTCGCGCTCACTCCATCCAAGTAAATACAATCACTTAAACTGCTATTGATGTAGATGTGCTAATAATATTCATGTTTTCAGATCATTAAGGTGGAAGTTGTAGCTGCTTCTGCATGCAGGAGGCCCCAAGTTAAACAATTCCACGATTCAAAGATCCACTTCCCACTCCCAAGACGCGTCCAGCATCGTCTTAACACTTTCTCTGCAAAGAAACCGCGTACATACTACTATTAGATTATGTATGAGATCAACAAAGTAAAATAAATTTTTGTTGAGGATATCAAAAAAGCTTTTATTGGTTTACCATAAAACACTATTAATTAACATCCATGATAATAGATGTATTATAAAATAAATTTATAATGAATTATATATTTAAGTTTATCATTTATCTATTTGGAATTTTAGTTAATATGTCCTGTTTTAATACTGTTATTCTATTTTGTCCTGTTCCCTTTTATGACGTTTTGTTTTATCATGTTGTGTTTGGTAATGGAACCATTTCAGACAATATTTAGATGGTCAATCGTCCTTCTTTAGGAAGGACAGTCCTTTTGTAGGTTCTGTCCTTCCTCAAAAAGTGTCCTTTACGATATTTTATCGATTGTCTGTTTGAAGAAATTAAAAGAGTTAATGTATACTTAAATTCTGATAAATTAGAACAATGGGAAAATCAACATTTTAAAAGATTGATGGTAATATTTAACCATTTCGAAAATGAACACATTCCATATGAATATTTAGTTATTCTTGAATTTACGTTGTGTTGGCATGGAACTAATGCAGCAGTTAAAAGACTTCAATTGGTGATGATTTTTGGACAAGTGAGAAATAAAGATTGAATATTTATAATCTAGCTGCAGAACTTACTGTAAAATTCAATTTAAAGGATATTTCTTGCTCCGAAATTACCAATAATATATTGTTAGAAAATGATATATTATATATTTACAAAAAAAATATTCATTCAATGCAAAAATACACGTTTAATTAAATAATTAATAGGGATGCAAACATAATTTTGTATGAATTCATAAAATGTTTCCTTCACAACATAAATAGTTTATTTAATTTATTTTTGCAGTAAAAATCTTCATACGATTGAGCTACACAAGAATGTTAAATTACAAAAGATGGTTGGTAAAAGATTTTTACAAGTGAGAAATCAAGATTGAATATTTATAATCTAGCTGCAGAACTTACTGTAAAATTCAATATAAAGGATATTTCTTGCTCCGAAATTACCAATAATATATTGTTAGAAAATGATATATTATATATTTACAAAAAAAAATATTCATTCAATGCAAAAATACACGTTTAATTAAATAATTAATAGGGATGCAAACATAATTTTGTATGAATTCATAAAATGTTTCATACACAACATAAATAGTTGTACTTTTTTCATAAATTTTCTTCCTGGAGTCTTTCACCTATAATTACGCTAATACTTCCATGCGAGTTTATTGGTTTGAATGTTGCTCTTAAAGTACACAATCTCATCATTACGAATTGACTCAACATCAGTAACTTCTTCACCAGTTTCAAAGAATATCATCATTGTAGGTTGTGCATAATCAAAGGCATGAAGTACCTTCCTACAAAACTTTACCATAATAATTGGCTATGTGAATATCTACAAAGAAAGACATTAAATAGAAACTTGTCATGGGTGCATGAGGTATGGTCACCTATACCATTTGTAAAAATTCAGGTATAAGATGCTCAGCCTGTTCGGAATATTATAGTTTAGAAAATTGCCCTAATAAAAATAACTCGATTTATTTCTATTGCGGTGGTGACAAAACTATCAGACAGAATTTGTGCGGAATACATTAAACAAAAAGACATAAAAGAGACCATGATTAGACGCAACTACTCATATCAAGAATCAGCGAATCTTTATAAACCTATTACATTAAATTCCGTATATGATAGAGATTTCTCCAAAGCATTACAATCGTACGAGGACTCTCTTGGAAGCATGTCTGATACTTCCTAGTTACGTAAATCAAATGAAACAATCTTTTGCGAGAGCGGCTTTAAACACCACAAAGAAAATACACAAAGTAAAATCTTTCCTTAAGAAACAAACATGTTGCCGCAGAAGCACTATCACCAAAACGCAAGAAAGCTCGAACCTGTGACCCAACTAACAATGCAAGTTCAAGTAAAGCGGGAAGAGAATCATCTGAACCTCGGAAACTAGCATTTATGCCTTGGGCCGAGGAGGACATTAAATCGAACACGATTCATAAACTAAACGGTATCACTTCAATAGATCTGCTCCAATCTATTAGCAATGACTACGACTTTAATACCGCCAAATCGGATACAACTTTCTGACTTAAAAGTTTAAGTATGATGTAGTTTATTTATTTTTTGAATTTATACATATCTGTCTATTCTTATCGGTTAATTTGTTTGTTTATTTCACTTTTTTTATAGATGTAATTTATGTCTACTTGTTAATACTTGTACCTTATAACAAGCTCGTATAATATTTTACCTACCTGTCCGAGACATTCCACAATGTGATAAGAATCGCTGGGACCCGGTTCATGAAGAGTTCTTATATATTTTTTTTTAGATATAACGTTTAATCTTATTTAGTATTTATTACAGCATTGATTGGACACATGCACCCTGAATTGCGAGCTAAGTTACACACTTTCACTCCTTTTCAGAGTAGAAGAAACAAAGAAGAAACTTGATAGTATGTTTCATAACATTACCTTCCCTTCCTAATATTTTCCATTCTCGAAAACAGTTACCCTTCTCTTTGCCATAGGATAAGATTGTTGTACTCTTAGAAACTTCTAAATAATTATGTTATATTTTACTTAAGTAGATATACAAATATAGCATGTATTTCGCTCCTCCTCCCATTTAGACTAAGATAGATCTTATGTAAACAAAAGTTGGTCTACCCTGTTATATAGGAACAGCTTATAAATAGCAGTAACAAACAGTAATAACAATAATTATACATTGTATTTAAATTTACTTTATTTTGGAATAAAAATCTTCATAGCATTGAGTAAATATTTTTCAAATATGGGAATATTATGTTATTATAAAAATGTATGTTTTAAATTATGTACTTTATCAACCACATTCAAAATGACCCAGAGTCGCAACGTGTAAACTAGCGACTGAAATTCCCATTTCCAGAGTTCATTGGTTTGAATTTTGCATTTAAATCCAAATCAACGTACAGAATTTCATTATCATGAATTGCCTCAATATCAATAACTTCTTGACCAGTTTCATTGAATATCTTCAAAGAAGCTAATTGCGAATAACCAAAGGACCGACACACCTTCCTGCAAAACTCCGCCTTCCTACAATGAAAGTTAATGTCTTTGAATTAAATTGATAGTACGTTTCATAATCTTAATAATCTTATGTATTCAACTGTATATCCTATAGGAACAGCTTGTAAGTAACAGTTACAAACAATAATAAATAATCTGTGTGCACATGCAAAGTGTGCAATCATCAATTGTTAGTACGAATTCACCATTTGGTGTAGCTCCACATTTTTTTAAAATATGGTCTGTTCCTGCCACTCTAAAGCGAGTAGGATAAATATTTAATTAAATTTAATCTATATTAATGTTCTTCATCCATAATAGGACTTCTATTGAGGTCGAAATGTGAATTTTATAAGTAATTAGTCCCAAGAAAATGTTGCTTGGAGTAGTGGCGCAGTCTATAATGCTGTGCACTGCTCTAGTATGAGAAGAAGCGATGAAGTTGCAGAATTACGGAAGAGCTCAGTTTTTAAGTAAGTAACAATCGGAGGAATTAGAGTAATTTTTATTAAACAAACATGTATTTATCGCTAGTCTTCAGAAGGTTGTATGCCCAGAGTCCTCTACGAAGGCGGAGGATAGAAAATCGAAGAATGTGTTCATGGTTCAAGCAGATATACAGATCAACTCTTTACTAGCTGCAGATAATTTGATTGTCGGGACTGTTGGTGAGATTTTGGCTTTTAACTGGCAACACATTATAAATTCGGCAGATGCTAAAGCAATCTGGAGGATAGAGATATCAAACACTAAAAACAACTTTGAGAAAGTCGATATAAATTGCATGGTTCAAGCACAATCTGGATAACAGGACTTATTATTGAGGTCGAAATGTGAATTTTATAAGTAATTAGTCCTAAGAAAACGTTGCTTGGAGTAGTGGCGCAGTCTATAATGCTGTGTACTGCTCTAGTATGAGAAGAAGCGATGAAGGTGCAGAATTACGGAAGAGCTCAGGAAACAGTCTAGCGCAGGGGAGCAATAAGGGTCTGCAGCGATTACAGAACAATCTCCAGAGATGAAGTTCAAATAATTGCTTGCATGCCACTAATCGAACTCCTAACCAAAGAGAGAGATGTGAGAGGCAGAGAGGAGTGAGTAAAGAAACTGTTAGGGCTAGACTGCTGGAAAAATGGTAGAGCTCAGAGAAGGGAGCCTGGACTAGACGCTTAATCCCAGAAGTAGGATCCTGGATTCCCAGAAAACACTGCGAGACAACATTCCATCTGAGCCAAGCGCTTTCCGGGCACGGGTGCTTCAGTAAGTACCTGCACTTTATAGCAAAAAGGAGGACGAAAATTGCTGGTATTGCGAAGAAAACGATAGCTGATAGAATGCTGATGAAGAAGTGGAGATGTTTTAGTGCGGAAAGCATCCCACAGTACCACGACTCCACCCGTGGTCCCTATGTAAGGTTTCCTCTCCTATACAAAACAAAAAAAGTGATTAGTTCCAATCCCATGAGAACGTTTGTCGGAATTCTAATTGGCATTCGAAGAAGACATGATTTACGATGGATATTTTCATCTTAGATGTTCTACATCTGTCTTTCTTACGAAAATTAAAGTTAAAAGTGATGGTCACATCAAGTATTCATTTTAGATCTATAAAAATCTACTAATTTAATCTTTTTTCCCTATCATCAAATATTGAGGTTTTATTTCTACAAAGTCTACTAAATATGTTACACATCTTCCTTTCTTTTAAAAATTCAGATTTTTCTTTCTTTTCAAATTCTTACAAGTATTAAAGTTTAAAATCACAGAACCATTGGAACCATCTGCGAGGATACAAATATGTCTTAACCACAGTATTTATAAAGAGCAGGAAATTGCTGTACATGAACATTAATATTACAAAAGGTGTATTTTGGATGGACATTAATTTACACAGTACTACTCTCCCGTTTGATGCTCAGACGAACATTTAAAAAGATTTGTAAAACATTTCCTAAGAAAAAAGAATGAATTCATTCAAATGCAACCGAATATATAGATATGTGCAGAGGGAAGAATAATAATTAAAGATTTTATTTAAAATTTATTAATTTTCTTTTAAAATACAAATCGAATGATTCTTATTAAATTCATTACGTTATGTTCTAAAATAATTAACTTTTAATATAATTTGTATTAATTTTGCATCTTCAATTTTTGTAGTTAACCTCAAACTTTCGTGTTTACGCTCGAAACGTTCTATATCAAACAATAATATTGAATGAAAACAATGGCAGACAAAAATTATTATAATACAATCTTGAGCCAAGTGTTTTCGCCTTGCGGAAAGTATTTAATCGTAGGGGATATATACGGATATATCTCAGTTTTCAAGTAAGTAACAATCGGAGGAATTAGAGTAATTTTTAATAAACAAACTTGTATTTTTTGCTAGTCTTCAGAAGGTTGTATGCCCAGAGTCCTCTACGAATGCGGAGGATAGAAAAGCCAAGAATGTGTTCATGGTTCAAGCAGATATACAGATCAATTCTTTACTAGCTGCAGATAATTTGATTGTCGGGACTGTTGGTGAGATTTTGGCTTTCAACTGGCAACACATTATAAATTCGGCAGATGCTAAAGCAATCTGGAGGATAGAGATACCAAACACTAAAGACAACTTTGAGAAAGTCGATATAAATTGCATGGTTCAAGCACAATCTGGAGATATTTATGTGGGATGTGGTGACAACAGCATTCGGATCGTTAACATTGAGAGTGGATCAATTGTGAACACTTTGAATGGGCATAAAGATTATGTACATTCCATTGCTAATATGTAAGAAACATTATTATGGTTAATTAAAAAATCATTAATGTTTTCTTTTGCAGAGGTAATGAATTGATATCAGGAGGTGAAGATGGTTTAGTTAATATGTGGGATATTAGGAGTAAAACTCTTGTGCATAGCATTGAGCCACACAAGAATGTTAAATTGCAAAGGCCAGAATTGGGTAACTGGATTGGAGCTGTGGCTTTGAATGATGACTGGCTGGTAAATATTTTGAGGATTATCTCAAGAAGGTATATATATATATTTTTTTTAGTTATGTGGTGGAGGGCCTAGGTTGTCTTTGTGGCACTTTAGGTCTATGAATGTGTCCACTGTCTTTCCGTTGGACGACAAGGGAATACACGTGGCTGAATTTTTCGAAGACTCGATTTTGGCTGGAGGTCGTTCCAACTATTTCTACAATTTAAATTTGGATGGAACTGTAGTGTCTGAAATTCAGACGTCTTCAGTGAGCATATTCAGCGCTATCCATCAAGAAGAACCGTACAAAGCGCTCTGTCTGAGCGGGTCCAGTCCGCATATCGATATATGCAATAATTATAATTACAGAGATCAAATACTTACAGTTTCTATATGAGAAGTACATTATTTTACCTGGATAATTTACACTTAAGTTTGTATTATAATATATGCTTAATAAATCAACTGACTATGTTAGTAAATTTTATTGGAATTGATACCCGACAGTATTACGGTTGTCGTGATTTCGAATGTCGTGATTTCGGTTGTCGGGATTTCGATCGGCACCGGTTAAAACAAACTTGAGACCTTTCTATATTTGAAATTTCTTCGTTCACAGACAAATCTCTAATGATGATAGCAGTGTTCAAAACTACCACTGAACGTATTCGAAAATTGTTTTTCTTAAGTCTAGATCTGTATATAGACTTAGGAAACGTTAAGCAGTTGCTCACCGAAACCACCAAGAAAGATCCGCAACGTTTATTACATCGTTCACATATTTTGTTCGCTCGGTGGAAAGTTTTGTCATAATTTTGTCCGAAGATTCAATTTTAATTATAACTGTTTTTTTGTTCCACCATGCGAACGAATCTTATATAATTCCTTCTTCAATAAAGCAAACAATAAGCTTTTTTTCTTGCGTACGAAATTCCTTTCGAGACTCCCGTGTTGAACGCGTACTTAGTTCAAATTCGGATTCGCCGCGGAGAGTTTCGGCTGAATTAATTTTTATTTAATAAACAAAAAAAAACGCTGAAAGTGCGCGGATTTCCCAAGTCGCGATATAAAACGAATTCTGTGCGCTTTCAGCGAACTCATCTTCCTATACATTTACTCGTTTCTCTTATATCTCGTTCGTTTTTCATTGGAGACTTCAATATTTTTTTGTGTCACCGGAACTTATAAATTTTGTTACTAATCCTAGGAGTTAATTAATTATACTTTGAAATTGGTTCACTTTGGACTTAGATTAATTACGCTAATTATGCACTGATTATAGGAAAGCTTTACTCTCCAATGGATTGAATCCATAATAAGCAGACAAAATTAGTAAAGACAAACAAATTATAGATAGAATTTACCTTAATTCGAACCACTTGAAAGTAAGGCTTTTTGTGAGGTTTTCTTAAATACTAATAGTTTACTTAAATTAAGATTCTGGTGGCCTTGAGAATTCATTCTGCAAGAGAAAAGTATATAACTTTAACATTAAGGGCGGTTCGTGGAAATCGCGTTGTTCGTTTATATCTCTGCTTGATTTTAACGAGGCATTAATTCCTAATGAACGAGCGAAGCCATAAACTTTATGTTCCGACTAATTACTTCCCGCAAATCAATAGAAACACGCGGTTATTATTCTTGAACCGACGGACTAATTAACTGCATTTTCGAACAAATTGTTTCCTTCAAATCTGGTAGATACTTGGAAATCTACTGGGAATAATGCTGCTACATTTCATTGGGGGGAATTTGCTTCTATTTACAGTAATTTAGATGCGTTTGAAACTTGAAAATAGCTGAGGTCAGAAAGTAATGGCTAATTAAAAAATCTAAATATGGATAGCCTTGGTTTACATTTATAAACGAACGATGCTAATAAGAACTCATGGATTTACTTGATAATTGAAATTAGACTTACTTAAATGATTAGAAGATGATTAGAGTTGTATCACAGATCGTAAGATTATCAAGTCATCGTTGTACATTTAAGAAGTAAGTTGGAAATCTGCGACAAATAAGAAAATTGTTATTATGCAACACACATCTTTTTTCTTTTAAATATTTAATTGATGATTTTTCTTTGTTGTTGTTGTTATTGTAAACCGAACAGGTGATAATTCAAAGCCGAGGCGTAAAACGTACAACCGGTAACGTAAGTCGTCAAATAAGGAAGAGGAGGCAACATCATCATCAGCAACAACAACAACAAACGAAAGTCGTAAAATATATACTACGCTCTCTCGGATTCCTTTGGTGAATCAATTAAATTCCTGAATTTGTTTGCAGGAAAAGTGGCGAAAAAAAAAAGTGTACAAAACGGAAAGGTGAAATTTGCAAACAAAAAAAAAACGCCGCTCCTCGTGTGGCTGTTACGTAATGTGCACTATCGAAAACGTATATTTAGCTTATAACGCGTTTCCAATCCTTCCTGCTTCTTGTATTATAATCATATCCTACATTACTTAATCACATTTCACCGTGTTTAGCATATGAAACTCGGTGGAAATTGAAACGGTTCGATTGCACTTCCTTATTGTCAACGTGGATGACCCTATCGAGTATTCAAGTTTTAGTTGTACAAAAAAAAGTATAATATTAGTCTACATTTTTCATTCATTGCAGAAATTAAAGTATAAAATGATTGTCTCATCAAATATTAATGATCTACATCTTTCTTTCATACGAAAATTAAAGTATATTGAAATGTTAATTGTACAAAACTCTACTAAATAAGTTTTAGATTTTTTAGATCTTAGTTTCTTATAGAAATTCAAGTTTAGAATGATGATCTCAATAACTAATGAAGTTTTAAATCTGTAGAAATCTACAAAATTAGTCTATAACATTATATTTTTTCTTATAGAAATTAAAGTATAAAATGATGGTTTTATCAATAATTAAAGTTCTAGATCTTTCTTTCGAATATTGAAGCTGAAATTGATGGTTACATCAAGTATTGAAGTTTTAAATCTATAAAAATATACTAAATAAGTTCTAGATCTTTCTTTCTTATATAAAATAACAGTATAAAATGATGATTTCATCAAGAATTGAACTCCTACATCTTACTTTCTTACGAAATTTAAAGTGATCTGCTAAATTAGTTTATACCATTCTTTCTTTTTCATATAAATTTGAGTTTAGAATGATGGTTTCATCAAATATTGAAGTTTTCGTTTTACAAAATTTGACTAAACAAGTTTTAGATTTTTGTTTCTTATAGAAATTAAAGTATAAAATCATGATTTCATCAAGAATTGAACTTCTAAATTTTTCTTTCTTACGAAAATTAAAACTCAAACTGTTGGTCTCATCAAGTAATGAAGTTTTAGATCTATTAATATCTACTAAGTTAGACTACAACAGTATTTCTTTCTTATAGAAATTAGAGTTTAGAATGATGGACTTCTACACAAGTATTGAAGTTTAAAATCTACTAAAATAGATATTAAAATCATGGTTTTATCAAATATTAAAGTTTTAGCTGTACAAAAAATATACTAAATTGATCTTACTAACGTTAAAATCGAATAGTTCGATATTCAATATTTGATCGAACTGTTATTCTAAATTCAGTAAGAACAAAAAGTTTTTCTTTGAAACAAACAAAAAATGCAAAATTCCTCTTACAGAAATTAAAGTTAGTATTTGAAAATTTTAAAATAATTGAGAAAAACCGATGAGTCTCAGTCATTAATTAACATTACGTAACAATATTTATATTACAAAATGTTCAACTTTTCATATAATTTAAAAAAAAATTATATAAATGTTGATAGATTTTGATTAAATTAAGTAAAATCTTTTTGAAATAAGTATTTTATAAACAAATCGATAATTTGAAAATATGCATAATAGATGACAGCTTTTGATGTGATTAAATAAATACAGAAAAATGTTAATACATTTGAAGTTAACTAATTGAATAAAAAAAAATCTAATTAACCTATTTTTTTGAAATCTAGAAACGTTTAAAACAATTGAAAAAAAAGATTAATTTCAGTCAATAATTAACATTATGTAAAAATTGTCATATCAAACATGCTCAATGCTCAACTTTTCATAGAATAAAAAAAAATATGCAGAAATGTTGATCGATTTTGGTTAAATTAAGTAAAATTTAATTGAACTAACTTTTTTGAAAATGTCTAAAATTAAAAAAAAATTGAAAAAAATCGATGATATCAACAATATTAGAAGACAGCTTTTCATATAATTAAAAAAAAACTATATAGAAAAGTTTATAGATTTTGATTTAATTAAGTAAAATTTTATTAAACTAAGGTTTTTTGAAAATCTCTAAAATTTTAAAACAATTGAAAGAAATAATCGATGGTTTCAAAATATGCATAATAGATGATAGCTTTTGATGTGCTTAAATAAATATAGAAAAATGTTAATAATTAGTTAACTAATTAAATAAAGAAAAGTCTAATTGATCTATTTGTTTTTGAAAATCTAGGAACGTTTAAAACAATTGAAAAAAAAATGAATTTCAGTCATTAATTAAGTTTACGTAACAATATTTATATAAAGAAATGCTCAATGCTCAACTTTTTATATAATTAAAAAAAATATAGAAATGTTGATAGATTTTGATTTAATTAAGTAATTGAACTAAGTTTTTTGAAAATCTCGAAATTTTTTAAATAATTGAAAAAAATCGATCATATCAAAATATGCATAATAGAAGACAGCTTTTGATGTGGTTAAATAAATTGTTAACTAATTAAATAAAGAAAAATCTAATTGAACTATTTTTTAAATCTAGAAACATTTAAAACAATTGATAAAAAAAGATGAATTTCTGTCATTAATTAACATAACGTTACAATTGTTATATCAAAACATGCTCAATGCTTAACTTTTCATATAATAAAAAAAAATATATGCAGAAATGTTGATAGATTTTGGTTAAATTAAGTAAAATTGAATTGAACTAAGTTTTTTGAAACTTTCCAAAAATTGAAAAAAATCGATTATATCAAAATATGCACATTAGAAGACAGCTTAAAAAAAACTATATAGAAAAGTTGATAGGTTTTGATTTAATTAAGTAAAATTTAATTGAACTAAGGTTTTTTGAAAATCTCTAAAATTTTGATGACAGAGTCACTAGATGACTGCTTTTGATGTGATTAAATAAATATAGAAAAATGTTAATTAATTGGAGTTAACTAATTAAAAAAGGAAAATCTAATTGATCTATCTGTTTATGAAAATCTGTTTAAAACAATTGAAAAAAAAAGAGATGAATTTCAGTTATTAATTAAGTTTACGTAACAATATTTATATAAAGAAATGCCCAATGCTCAACTTTTTATATAATTAAAACAAAATATAGAAATGTTGATAGATTTTGATTTAATAAAGTAATTAAACTTGAATTTTTTTGAAAGAAATAATCGATGGTTTCTAAATATGTACACTAGATCTGTCATCTAGTGATCTTTTGATGTGA